CTAGGTTAGGTCAAGTGAAGTGACTTGAATTACTGTTGCAAGCCCTGATAAATATTGAAGCCTTTACCTTTCTTCCCTCTCCATACCCCCTGGCCCCAGCAGACTGGGTATTAATGGAATAATGATGCCAGATACAGAGATGATGATTACCAAATTAATTATTATACAGTTTTCCTGAAATTAAAAATTGTTTAAAAAAAAAAAAAGTTGGACTCCATGGACACCTATACACATGCCGGACATCTGCTCCTACATGTGCTAATTAGCATGTTGGAGCAGACTCGATTAATCAATTAATTAATCAAGTTAATTAAGCAAGACTGCTGGAGTGTGCTAATTACTGTGCCCCAGCAGGTGTCAGTACTCTGAAAATGTCAATGTATTGACTTGAAGTACTTCTCAAAGTCTGTGAATGCTTCCTTTCAATCAGACTCAGTCCATAAAGACTATCATGGAATATGACTACAATCTACTATATACATGAGCTATTGGAACTCTGCCCTCTGCGGCAAGGCAATACATCTCTGGAATTAATAAAAATTCACCCATATCAGCCTAACAACACTTCACTCATCAGGGGCCTAGAGTTACTTTCATCTGTTTGTAAGCATCACAAACAAGAAGGGATATAGGAATAGTGCAAATCAAGGCTCACGTGGAGAGACTTTCATATTTTTGTGGTCAGATCATTTGGTATGTGCACTTGCACCTGTATCATTTAGGTTGAGACTTCAGCAAAGCCAAATGGAACAAGGCAGATCTTATACCAGTAGCTTCCCAGTGGCCATGGCTACTTCGGTTTGCAGAGTTTCTTGATGTTCATCAGTTTAGTCACACGCACAACTCTCCAGCCAGACTTCCTGATGCAAAATGGATACAAGTTGTATCATCCTTATCTGTATCTTGCAGCCTGATGTTTAGATAGTCTGATTTATCTCTGACACACTTAATTTTGTTCAGTGTAAGTTCCATCCTTCCCATCACGCAGTAGAAAAGAATCCACAAAAAAGACCATATTTTTCAAATGGAAAAGATTTCAGCCATGGTGTCATCAATGGCATGTTTCTTCTTTGCACTCAGCGGTGTCAGTTGTATAAGACCATATATTGTCACTAAAATTTTAAAGTCTCTTTCTCTCTCTCATAGTTAGTACCTGTAAGTGTCTTCTACCTTGCAGTTGATAATTCCATAGTATTCTTATATGTTCACACCAAAACTCCCCAAAGAATGTAAGGATCTCTTTATATCTGAATTACCTGTTTTGGTTTTTATGTGTATAATGACATTTCTGAATGAGCCATTATACAATTGTCTTTTACTCTGTTTTTCCTTTTAAGTCAGGGGTAGGCAACATTTTTTGGCCAGAGCATTGAAAAAAACAGTGTCTACCTTGGAAGGTGCCGGAGTGCCAATATGCCGGAGCAGCTGTTTGCAGCCTCACGGCTGCAGCTGGCCCACAGCAGCCTGTCTGCTCCTAGCAGGGCTTGCAGCCTCCCAACCACCTGCTGGGAGCAGCCTGGGCTCCGTGCCTGGCAGCAGCTGCTTAGAGCCTGGGCTGGTGGTGGGGTGCTGAGCAAAATGGTCTTGCGTGCCATTCTCAGCACATGTGCCGGGGATTGCTGACTGCTGCTTTAAGTTATCTAATGACTATAAAGTCTGCTAGGAGGGCAGGGGAGTTGAACTCATGATCTACTCATACTATTTTTCATAATGACAATCAAAGCATGCAGTTTTACAAGTGTTGTTCTGAAATTTCACATTAAACAAATTGTGGGTAGTGCTGTACTATGGGACAGATAATGCCTGGAAAAGATATCAGCAGGCTCCTGTGTTGCTGCACACATGAAAATGCTGGAAAAAATGTTGACGGTAGCAGAGGTGTCAAATATGCAGCCTAAGGGTTAGATCCAACCCTTGGAGCCCCCCCCCCCGGTTCTGCCCCTTTGAGTCACAAGCCCTGTGCATAGTGCTGGGGACATGCACTACCCATAGTGCTTCCTCAGGCCTAGTCTTGGGCTGCCCTGTGCATGGTGCTCACTCGGGCCTGGCCTTGGGGTGCACTGTATATGTTGCTCATTCATGCCTGGTCCTGGGGTGCTCTGCATGTAGCACCCATTCAGGCTAGTATCCCTGACTGTCCCAGGTAGGTGCTGAGTATACTGGATCAGTCATACAGATGGAGTGGAGGGTAGGGGTCTGTGGGCCTGACCCCATGGGGAATGGCCCATGCTTATCCAGCCTGCAGAACCACATGAGTTTGCCACCCCTGCCTTAAAGGAATGAGGTCTGACACTAGAATCATTGAAAATTAAGGTTGGAAGGAGCCTCAGGAGGCCATTTAGTCCAACCCCCTGCTCCAAGTAGAATTATCCCCAACTAGATTATCCTAACCAAGGCTTTGTGTAACCAGGTCTAAAAACCTCCAAGGATGGAGATTCCAAAAATTCTCTAGGTAACCTGTTCCAGTGTTTTACTATCCTCCTGGTGAGAGAGTTTTTCCTAATATCTAACCTAAACTTGCCTTGCGGCAACTGAAACCATTGTGCCTTGTTCTGTCATCTGCCACCACTGAGAACAATCTAACTGCATCCTCTTTGGAACCATCCTTCAGGTAGTTGAAGGCTACTATTAAATCCTCTCTGTCATCTTTTTCTCCAGACTATATAAGCCAGTTCCCTCAGCCTCTAGTTCAAGTCTGAGATGCACTTGAGCCTCAATACCAAACCCACCAAAATGGTCAACTAACATTAATTTAAAGCATCACTTAACTTGATATAGAAAATGTACATGTGGCTAGCAGTTGGTTTACAGGCAACACTTGAAGTATCCCCTATCTTATACTGCTGTAAAGACAAGCCCAGCCCAGAAACAAGCATAAAAAAAATCCAATGTGCCCCAGCCCCCTAACCATTTTCATTGCCCTCTGCTGGACTCTCTCCAATTTGTCCACATCCTTTCTGTAGTGGGGGGCCCAAAACTGAATACAGCATTCCAGATGTGGTTTCACCAGTGCTGAGTAGAGGGGAATAATCACTTCCCTTGATCTGTTGGCAGTGCTTCTACCAATGCCACCCAATATGCTGTTAGCCTTCTTTGCAGTAAGGGTACACTGTTGTTTCATATTCAGCTTACTGTCCACTATAAACTGCAGGTCCTTTCTGTAGAGCTGCTGCTTAGCTAGTCGGTTCCCAGCCAGTACCAGTGCATAGGATTTTTCTGTCCTAAGTGCAGGACTTTGCACTTTTTCATTATTGAACCTCATGAGATTTCTTTTGGTTTCATAAATTTCTTTTGAGTTAGTATATTAGAAAAAAATTGTAAGAACTGATGCATCTTGAGAGCCATTTTGATTGTCCTCTTTCCTTCAAAAGATGAAAATCCAGACTGGAACTGAAATGATTGTGAGGTGAAATCATGAGTCTCCTTTTTTCCTAATATTTTAATGTAACCGGTTTTGTAAGTTGGAAGTAACATAGCAAAAGGAACTCCAAATATGGCATTTTTGAAGTTTGATAACTCAAATGATTGAACTTTTGTCTAAGCCACTGGCAAAATTCCCTTTGGCTTCAGCAGGAATAGCTTTGTCCCTTTGTTAATTTTCTGTGGCTGTTGTACATGATGATGGAACCTCAGCCTTAATGAGAATTCTGCTTTTGTAACTTTGTTACTAGTCACATCATTATCGTTCCTGACTATGAAAATGTAAATAAAAATAATAGAATTATAAAATTGGAAGGGACCTCATGAGTCTAGTCTCACTGCTCAGTTAAGAATCTTGCATCAAGTCGCTTGCACTTGATATTAATCAAAGTGTAGTTTAAAAAAAAAAAAAAAGCTTCTGGTGGTGACAAGATTTAAAAAACTTGCAAGTATTTTTTTTGTGAAAGAATTCCACTCGAAATGCTTGAAACCAGCATCATAGTATATGAGTGCTTCATAATCATTAATATACCTATCTGCACAACACCCTGTGACACACTAACAGTGTTGGTTTTTTCTTTTTCTTTTTTCCAATTGAGACATAGTGAGAGACTAAGTGACTTGGCAAAGGTCACATGGCAAGTCTGTAATTGGGAGGGGGGAAAGTTAAACCCAGGACTCCTGAACCTCAGGCTGTTACCCTAACCATGATCCATCATTCCTATCTGAATTGCATAAAGATAAAGGTTTTTTTTTTTCATCCTCCAGGTCATGTTGGAACTTGCACGTTTGTACCTAGCACAAGATGATACCGATGCCTGCCAACATCAGTGTGCATTACTGCTTAAAAACGACCAAGATAATGAAGCAGCAACAATGGTTAGTGAGTTGTAATATTGTAATCTACTATATCAAGAGAGCTACTATACTAAAAGTGTGTTATATGTGCTGTCTAAGAGGAGATGGTTATGATGATCCATGTTACAAAAACATAGTTACTGTGGGTTTAGTAAAATACAACATGAAAAATATCACAAGTGTTTGCTTGTATTCACATCAGATCATTATTCAGTACAGGCAGTCCTCAACTTACAATGTTTCAAGTTACAACATTTCGCACTTACAACGTTTATAAATTGACACCCTGTTTCAACTTTCTGACGTCAGTTTCGACTTACAACACTTGATTCGCTGCATTGTTTATCTCCCTGGAGAACATCTGTCCAAGCTTCCTTGGACACTTTTTCTTTAAGAAAGCAGACAAGACTCCAGAAAAACCTGCAGCCAAGACTCCTGAGAAGACTCCAGCCAAGAACCCTTAAAATCCAACCAAGAGCCTTTCAAAAAGTCTAGCAAATTCACCTCAAAGAAGTCCTTACAAATCAATATGATTGCTGTTTACAATATAAATACGTTAGTGTAACTATATTACTCATCTGTAATTGGTTGAGTAGAAAATTCTGGGGTATTTTTGGTGACAATAGGGTATCGGGCCTTGGTTCAGGACCAGTCCCCCATTTATAACATTTTCTTATGAGAAAATTGGTTCTGAGTTGCAGTGTTTCAACTTAAGACTCAGTTTTCAGAAACCAGTTGTGTTGTAAATCCAAGGACTGCCTGTATAATTTATAACTGTTAACAAGTTTAGCCTATCTATTCCAAAACAAAAATCTTGCTACAAAAATGTGAGGAACAGAAGTGGAGAGGAATTGTATGAAGAACAATATTCAGAAAATGGTTTAATTCACTTTGTACTAACAGTTCACTGTGAGAAACTAATGTTATCTTTTTAAAACACACTTTTTTTTTATTGCTACACTTCTTGTCTATGGATGATGTAACTCAGACTGGCCATCATATGGAGAATGCCTCCTTTTAAGGTGGAACCAAAGTTAATCGGTGGTTTCTTAACTGCACAGTTATTCCTGGGGCCTACCCTAGAATCACTAAGATTTCACTTTTTTTCTTAAGTATATAATTTTATAATACTGTGTAGGTATATTTGAGATTTTAAGAATTTGTTCTTACTGTTAATACTTTTTAAAAAGAGAATTGGATTTCACTGCTTGGATTCTCTGACTTTAGCTTTTGTCTTAGATTTATTTGAGGAGTTTTATAAAACAACCATTTTCAACCATATTTTGTAACTTGGGGGTTTTGTTTCTTTTTTTTTTCTTCTTTGAATGTTTTGATCTTACAGATGATGGCTGACCTCATGTTCAGGAAGCAGAACTACGAAGAAGCTGTATTTCATTTTCAGCAGCTCTTGGAACGCAAGCCAGGTAAAACAAATCCGTAATGATGTCTCCAATTCTCCCTGATCTAAAGTCTCATGGACATTATGGGAATAAATCGTTACATGTTTCAGTGATGTTTTTCTGAATAGTGATGTGCTGAATAGAAACAGCAAGTCTTTTTGTGCGTGTATATGCATGCACAAACTAGCTACAGTACATTTAATACAGAAAAATATGAAAAAAATTATCAAAATGAAATACAATATTTCTCTCTCTCTCTCTCTCTCTCCCCAAAACAGAGTGCACATTATATTTGGGAAGGTGAAATGAAGGAAAAACTTTCTTGAAATTATAAAACATACACAGAATAAGTCATAAAATGCATCCCTCACTGCAGTTGTGGTGTCTCTCTCCAGTAGAAGCCTTCCTACTGTAGCCAGCAGTGAAACACCAGCAGCTCTGAGGGGGCAAGGAAACCTGTTGCTGCTCCATTAGCCATGTAGCCACTGCTTACTGACTCAGTAGCAAGCTGTTTGACAGCAGCAGGAATAGCTCTTTAAGTGGAAGAGGTGTCGGGGGCAGTTGTACCTGCTTCTGCCAGGGCTTTCTGCTCTCTGCTTGGGACTGCTGTGAGCCATCTGCAATGCTACTTAAGGACGGACTTCCTGCAGCAGGCCTTCAGTGAAGGTTCCCCAGGGGACACCCAGGCTAGTGCCAAGCTCACCACTCTGCTTTGGCTGGCAGCTAAATGGCATTACCATATTTCTTCACATACAGTACCCAGATTTTTGGCAGCTTATTTGTGGAAAAGGGTGTCCCGGTGATATGCAAAAATATGGTAGTTATTTCTAGGTCAGATATACACACTTTTACATAGAACCTAGTGTAGCTATAAAATTATATAACTATAATCATAAAAAGCTTAGTTTTAAAACAAGGTGACAAAGAGAACATACACAAATATAGATAGGATTTCAAAGTAAATTTTAAGAAGCTGGATTGTTTAAAGTTTTTCATTGCAAACTGTGACAGTACAGATAAAACACTTATAGTATTACTAGACTGAAAGTGAAGTTTGCAATTGGGTAGAGCTGTTTAGAAGGTCATGGTTTGTAGCAGTGCATTTGGATTCCTCATATCATTAGACTCTCTTAAATACCATGTAGAAGTCATAATATAAGCACTGTATTAACTTTAAATTTCCAGCTTCATTCAGACTATGCCATAAAAAGGAGAAATTGCTTTATTTTTAAATCTCTTCATACACAAAATGTGTATATTGGTTTACTAAAATATCCTAAATATGTACTTATTTAGATAATTATGCAACTCTGTCACGTTTGATTGATTTATTAAGAAGAGCTGGGAAGTTAGAGGAAGTTCCAAGATTTCTTGTAATGGCTGAGAAACATTCTTCCAGAGCAAAAATAGAGCCAGGTTTTCACTATTGCAAAGGATTATATCTTTGGTAGGTATAGTTATAATTAAGTAAAGCATGTATTGGTTATTTTACCACATCTGAAAATAAACTTCTGTTTTTACTTCAGTAGCAATCATAGCTTGCAAAAATGTAAGAGAGCTAACAAGCCTAAATTTCGGATGTTGCCATTTGAGTGATATCCTTGGCTCTTCTGAAATGCTTTCTTTTGGGTTCTTCTAGAAAGTATAATTATTTAATTTTATCTGTCTGTTTCATAGCAAATAGTAATATTAGTTACTTCTGACCTTCAGAAATGAAGTTTTAAAATTTTAGAACTCAGTTTTTGCAATATGTATACAACAAAAATATAAAATTTATACCCGGTACAGTTTGAAATCTGTGTGTGCATGTGTGTGTGTGTGTGTGTGTGTGTGTCTGTGTATGTATAGATTTGTTGATAGATTTTTTTTCCTGTTAGTTGCTTGCCCAAACTGAAAATATTTTCATAACCTGACTTAGGTATACAGGTGAACCAAATGATGCACTTCGACATTTTAATAAAGCTCGGAAAGACAGTGATTGGGGACAGAATGCAGTTTATAACATGATTGAAATATGTTTGAATCCTGATAATGAAACAGTAGGTGGCGAAGTATTTGAAAACCTGGATGGTGACATAGGGTAAGGAAAGGAGTGAAGATTTTTTTTTTCTTGTTAACACTTTCTATCCTAATCTAAACTGTAACAGAATGAGAGATGCTTATAATGTGGCACTTTGGAGAGAGGAGTCAATCAGATACTAGTCAAAAGATGAGGAGGATTCTGTTCTCCATGTCTGTGCATTTGTAGGATCTTAAGTGTGTCTTTGCAGATAATTCAGAGTCACTTTCAATAGAGAAGGGGAGCCAATATAGAATAGCCATGTAAAGAGTGACAAAAGTGATTTGTTTTTTCTACCCTTCATCATAACTCATAGTTAATTTAATTATAAAATTTAATTTTATGTGTATAATGACAAGTTATTTTTTTCTAAATACATTCTTTCTGATTTGTAGTAATTTGACAGAAAAGCAGGAGTCTGTACAGCTAGCTGTGAGAACAGCAGAAAAACTCCTGAAGGAACTCAAACCCCATACCGTTCAGGGTCACATTCAACTTCGCATTATGGAAAATTATTGTCTAATGGCAACCAAACAGAAATCGAATGTTGAACAAGCATTAAACACCTTTACTGAAGTAGTAGTTGCTGAGGTTAGTAATCAGCCCCTCATCCTTATCCTCACATTATGGCTTTTGGTTTAATTTGAGAAATATAGAGACATTTAACGTAACTGAGTCAGAGAGTTATTTGTTTTGTTGTTGTTGTTGTTCTTGATGTCTTGAAAATTGGCAGCAAAAATGCTGAAGCAGGAGTCTTTCTTGCTGACATGTAAGTTTGTTAAAAATGCAAGCTTAAAAGAAATGCTCAGCAAGCTTAATACCATTATTAAAAATCACTTGGGTCTTTTTGTGTTCTGTGTTTTTTGTCTTTGTTTTGGCTTTTTTTTTTTGTTGTTCATTTTGTTTTGGGTTTTTGTGTGTTGTTTTGACTTCAAGTTTTCCAACTCCTGGTGTTCTGAAAATATATGCGTTAGGACCAAGCCTTCAGAAATCTTTACAATGATAAATTTATCCAGCTCTGTGGTGAGGACCCATTCCCTAGAGCAGTGTTTCTCAGCCCATGGGTTGTGACCCAAAAGTGGGTCACAAGAATTTATTAAAGGGTTGCACAGATTTTAAAAATGGATTCTCCTTTAAAGAAGAAAAATGTGGGAAACCGTGGCTTTGCCCTTGCAGGCTGGCAGAGTTCTAGTCTGCCCAGGGCTGTTTGGGGCCCTCCACAGCCCCCCACACACTCCTTCCCTTCCCCACACACTGTGGGGCTGGGGCCTGGCAGCAGGTCAGAAGTGAAAGGCACTAAGTCGGAACTGGCTATTGATGTTTACAAATGGGTCCTGGTAGAAAAAGGGTTGAGAACTGCTGCCCTAGAGCTCAAGTCACTTCCGTGGCCTTCCTACACAGTACCTACATAAGTGACATCTGCAGGTCAGGTACCTGGAGCTCAGTATATACCTTTTGCCAAGCATTATATGATCGTAAAAACCTCAAAGGCAGATGCTGCATTTGGTAGGAGAACGCTTCAGTCACTGTTTGTCTATGGCACTCAGACCTCTTAAGTTTGAGTAGGGAGTGCCCAAATATTTGTGGGCACTGCTTTATTCTCACCCTGGGTGACTCCAATATATATCATGGTGAGGATATACATTTGGAAGTCACTCAAAGGAGAAAGAAAAGTTATTTTTCAGTAATCTTTTTGGAGCATGCACACTCGCATCCTTTCTTCCTTTCCCTTTTCTCTGGAGTTGTATTTACTATGAGACTTCAAGGTTGAAAGGAAACTTAAGAGTAGGAGATGTACATCTCTATCCCTGTGGCAAAGGGCTGAAGGAGGTGTGGCATTAGGTTGAATCCCACTGTAAAGGCAAAAGTCTTTCACCAAAGCTCATAATGTGTACGTGTCCATGCCTACATAGTGCATAGGGACAATACATTTTGAAGCAATCCAGTTACTGGTAAGTAAATATTTTTGCTAATTTCTTTTTCCTTTTTTAGCCCAAGTTTGCAGTCAATCTTTTAAATAATTTAAGGTAGTGGTGTTGTAGTCCTGTTGAAGATTGAACACTATGTTATATAATAGATATTTGGAATATGAGATTTTTTTTATTCTCGTAGTTTCTGGGTTTTAGGTTTTACTTGCATCTTACTGTATCTGCTCAGTAATAATTTTATTTTGAAAACTTACTTTTTAACTTAAAGCCAGTTATCCTTTCTATTCCAGAAGGATCATATCCCAGCTCTTTTAGGAATGGCTACAGCCTACATGATATTAAAACAAACTCCACGAGCCAGAAATCAATTGAAACGCATTGCAAAAATGAACTGGAATCCCATTGATGCAGAAGAGTTTGAAAAGAGCTGGCTGCTGCTTGCTGATATTTACATTCAATCTGCAAAATATGATATGGCAGGTGAACTCTTAAAACGATGTCTCCGTCACAACAGGGTAGGTGACTATGCATGTTGTTTTTCTTTAGAAACATGCTGTGAAATTTTTTCTTCTGAAGGGGAAATAAACTTGGGGAAACCAGATGACTAGCAACTTATCCCTGAGAATAGAAAATAAATTCATCTACAGATGCTTCTTCATTTTTATTCATAAGCTGTAAGTAATTTATGCAGGTCTGAGCTGTGGTGATATGTTAGTGTTGAAAGTGTCTGTAGAATGTCAAGAATGCATTTTATTATGAATCTGATCCTGGCTCATGACAACAGCAGAAAGACAGAAATTGTGGGCACTTGCCCCATTTATTAAGGAAGAAATAATCTGTTGCTCCGTATGCAATTTGGTGTTTTTTTAAGAGAGCGTTTAACAATATAATGTATATTTTTTCCTTTTGCATCATGCCTTTACTGATCCTGCACTGACAAGTTGCTTTTCTCTGGATTCTTATGAGGCAGCTCTACAGCTCTAGTGTTTTCATTGGGCACTTAGGATTTTTGACCTGGACCTCTGCCAGAATGGGTTTCAGGAAGCAAGAACAGTCAACAGCTTTAACTCTCCTGCTTGCTATTTCTCATTTTGTTCTTTCTCTCTGGTAATGGAGTTTGTTTTTTGTTTTTTTTCTTTCTGTCTACATACCTCTCACCTTCTTTTACTTGAAGGCTGTTTAGAAGACTCATTGCTTTACAGACGTTTATATCCCCATGGTGTCTCCTCAGCAGTCTACTTATTGCTACTCAAAACTACTTTGAGTACCCTTCAGCTTTTACCTGGTAAAGAGCCAGGTTTGTCTCCCGATCTTTATCCTTCTGTCAAATGTCCTTCTGTGTACTTGAAGTTTAACTTAGTTCTCAAATAGATTATATTCCTTTAATAGAAATTACCCCATCCAGGAGACCCTCTCTTTTATTATACCAGAGGGGTTCAGTATGAGTAGTTCCACTGATTACAACTGTGTCAGAATGATGTTGACATTGAGGGAGAAGCAATCTTCTGGAAGATTTAAATATTTAGAAGCAATGTCTGAAATATTTAGATAAATAAGCCTGGGCAGTGAAAGGAAAAGGAAAGTGATGAAGGCCACAAAAACCTTTCACATTGGGTCCTAGCATCACAGTGATTAGAAGCTCTGCCCCATATCAGCATTCAGTTTCTACACATAGAGAAAAAAACCAGCAAGAATTTTGTACAGCTCCAATTTTAAAGTATGTTGAATTAAGAAAAAATATAAATTTTTATGGAAAACACTTTCTGCAAAACTCTCCAGCGTGTATGGAACTTGACCAGAGTGACTTAAACGCATTATTTTGGCTTTTGTTGTTGTTTTTTAGCAATCAGAAATTAATTATGAAAATGCATATGTACTTTATTTACCTAAATATATTGAATTAGATGTTTAGCCTTTGTCATTCATCACGTTTGTTTTCATGTCAGTCTGGTTCTCTTTCGTTCCAAAGTCAGTGAGAACCCAACACCTATCCAAAGCCAGTGCATTACTATAGAATCAGGGTTTTATGAACTGATTTTCTTTTCTTGATCCTACAGCTGTATTTCTTGATTCTCCATCTGTATCTCTTCTGATGTAGCACAGACTTCTAAATAAAGGAGATTTCTGCTGCCATATCTTATTCCAGTACTCCGTGTACTCTCTAGTTAGACTTCTAGGTCCTAAGTTGAAACTATGTCCTCTGTAGATTTACAAAGTTTAATTTTAAATGGGTTTAAATAGTTAGAATAAGTAGAATATAGTATATGCATTTGTCTCTTCTGTGGTGTAAGTAATTGGCACAATACATAAATTAGATACACATTTCTAATTTAATGGCTTAAATTTCCTGCTGAAAATACTCAGATTATTGGCAAAGCAATACATCTTTTATAAACCATTCAAAACAAAACTCCTTAAGTGAGTTTTTTTTTCCCCAAATTTTTTTTTGCTGAATGCTCTTTGCTTTTGTATGTTTCTCTCAAATTTCTGTGTCTTCTTTTCTGCATTCAGTATCATATTTACTTGATTAAAAGGTGAGGAGTTTTTCCCCATTTAACATGGGGAACAAAGCCCTAATATTACAATAAAGTATGAGGCGGCTTGGGGCAGAGGCAGGCAGCTGCTGCCTGCCTCCCTCACCACTCCTACCCTTCTGCCTGGGGACTCTGCTGCCCCATCTCCCCCCTCCCTGCTCTTTGCTGCTTCTTGCCCCTTCCGCTTCCTCCTGCTGTGTCCCTCTTACCTTTGCTCTGGTGCTGTCAGGGTTTATCTTTGCTGCAACCTGGGACATGGAGCACAAAGGTAAAGGGGCTAGGGGACTGCCAGTTAAGATTATCTGACAGGATCTAATTTTCAGATGCTCATAGCTTTGCCAAACAGTTAAACCTGAAATGTTTCATGCTGGGCATAATCTCTAGGCTGCATTTTCTTGAAAACTTTAACTCAAGCAGATTCCAAGAATGAGGTTAGGAAAAATAAGTTGTTTTGCTGCCATTAAAAAAGAAACAAGCCTTTTTCTTTGAAAAGCGTTAGGGCAGTGGTTCTCACCCTCATTAGACTCGAGGTACCCCAGCTCTTAGATTGCACTCCATTTTTCACTATGGAAAAATAATAGAGCAATTTTTCTGTTGCAAAGACCTCAAAGACTATAATAGGTCAAAATGGTTTTCAACAATTATGGATTCCTGTTTAAAATCCCTGTGTTTACCTTGTGAATCATGTTTGCCTAACAGTGCTACCATTGCTTGGCACCCGTGAAGGATCTCAAGGCACCCCATCTACTTGTTGAGTTATAAGACTTATAAATTATTGGACTTACCTGGGGAGCCCATAGTCAGACTTCTTAGATTTTTAAGAATTCTCCGTAGGCTAGAGCCCATCAACACTGGGCATGTTACAGGCTGGGGCTACCTAGGACTTCTTCAATTGTATGCATTATGGAATACAAAGCTGCTTGTTTCAAATGCAGAGCAGATGAGAGGAAGAGTGGGATGAGGGAGGACTGGACTGAGGGACTTGGACCAATATGTAAGTGTGTATGTGACCTGCTATTGTATAAATCCTATCTTTATAGAGAGATGTATAAATCTCTTCAATAGATTTTATGCATAAAAGCAGAAGAATGTTTGTTCTTGACACTTGCTGTTAAGACTAGGCAGCTAATAGTAAGGATTGCAGGCTTAATGAACATGCATGGAGTAGCAGGCTGTGGCTCCATGCACTTCCTCTGATAGTTCATTGGGCTGCAGACAATGAAGGCAGGTACAACTTCATTTGTATTTCATCCAGTATCCTGGGCAGGTGTGTTTTATAACATATTTGCCTTTATGCAAATAGATCTCTCCATAAGAAGCTAATAATGTTATTACACCTTGCAGTATAAATAATGCTTTATTTTCACTGGGTATTTCTATTGTATTTTACTGTCCTTGAAATTGACATTAAGAAATTAGTCACATGAAGCATCATTTATATATCCAGTAAGTCATGAACTTTTTATCAGAAGCAGCCCTTTAAAATAAAATTATAGTCATGGGGTAACAAACACATTTGTTGGAGAATATGGATCTCAAAATCATTGCAGAAAATATTTAATGTTCGTTACTAAACTGTATCCTTTTTACTGGACAGTGGTGTTTTTATAAACTATAAATGCTTCATCTAAGTAAGCTGATGTTGGTTCTTCCAGAATGGAGTGAGCCATCCTTCCTCCTAATGCTTCTGTTGCCCTGTACATTGTGCAGCCAAATTGTGATAACCCACGTTTCAGGACAGTGGCGCAGTTGTTAGTTAATACGTTCCACTACCCTTTGCACTGATAAGCTATGACAGGAGTAATAATTTCTATTGTGAGGCTGTTTTAGTTGCCTGAAGCCTGTACACCTGGCCTCCTGGATCAAATACCCTGAGCAATAACAACTGTAAAAATGCCCACTGGTACAGTTCGGTGCTTCTCGCACCCTTTGCCTTCTCTCCCTTATCCCAGAGCAGCTCTTGTTCTTAGTCTCTTATTTTAACCCTGAAATGAAAATAGTGAACAGAATTCCTGTGTCTTGTCTTTATTTTAAACAGGAAACATTTTTTATAGAATCTGGTACAATTATATAACTGGTATATGCCTTGCAAGCTATCTGTATAGATGTGTGTATTTAATTGTTTAAACATGCTAGGGACAGACATTACACACAAACCGGTTTAAGTGATCAGAAACTAGTTTAAACCTGTAACAGAACAGATGTTCAGTACACGCAAACCAGTTTGAAAATGGCTGAAACCTATTTGAGATACTACATTCAACCACGTTTATCAGACTTAACTGATTTGGATCAAACTGGTTTATGCAACGTCTGTCCCAGACCCCTTCCTGGTTTAAGTTAAACCAGAGTCCCCTAGCATCCCAGATGCTTTCCTGGGCAGGGTTTTGCTCTCTGCTCCAGCCCAGGAGGGCTGGCCCCTCCCTTCTGCTCCCTGGCTGCAGCTCTGGCAGAGATGGCAGGTACAGCAGTGTCTATCTAGCTTCCTCCTGTTCCCTGTCCCCCCCACCACCACTCCCTGCTCAAGCAGGGATTCTCCCCTCCCTTCTGCCTTACACAGCATTAGCTAGCATACCTCATGCTGGCTATGGTCTGTGCTGTGGGAGACAGGAGAAAGGCAGACAGGACAGTGTCGGCTTAAGGCTCTTTGGAGCTAATCAACAGGTAGCTGGTAATGTCCCTACTTTCCTTCCTTGGAAAAAGTTGTTTAAGAAGAACTTGAACCAATGAGAGAGGCTTTGTTTTGCTGATGGGATGATAAATGCTAATAACTCCCTCTGTAACTCCCTGCTGTGTAACTAAATGCTGTGTAAATCCCTGCTGGCTCCCTCAGAGCAGCAAGTTGGGGAGACCCCTCCCTAATGAGAATGTCCTGATAGTGGGGTCTGGCCACACCCCCCCCCCTCACCTCAGCACTGTGGAAGAGAAAGGAGGGCTGCTCTAGCACCCCCTGGCTTCTAGCCCAAGCCAATGCAAGCATGTGCCTGCATTTCTGGAATGAAAAGAGAATGTCTATTCACCTCCAGATTGGTTCAAGCTTTGCAGGTTTGACTAACCTGCAAAGATTGAATCAAGTCAGGCTCAGGCTTTTTGAATATCTGTCCCTAGCCTCAGTCTGTATAGGCTCCTCTGAATAACCTTCTGAAATATGTATAATACATATTTATATTTTGTAGTCCTGTTGCAAAGCCTATGAGTATATGGGATACATAATGGAAAAAGAACAAGCATATAAAGATGCAGCAGTAAATTATGAGCTGGCATGGAAATATGGAAACCAAACAAATCCAACAGTAGGTATGTTTGTACCCATTTTGTGGCAATAAATATAAATAAAACAGTGATGTAATGTTGGTAAGACGGTATTTCATTTTCCTAATAAGTAAAATATGTTCACTAGATGTCTTCATGTGAGAACTTGGCTATTTAAAGATCTACATTTTAATACCTTTGAGGGCACTCCTGGCAGGAGAAGATAATTTGTGTTGCTGAGTTTCATCAATTTACGATTACTATTCTAGCAGGCTTCCCACAAGGCTTGCTTTGGAGCTTTTTTATTGTTCACTGTCTGTATATATAAATATACAGTTTCTAAATATAGTATCCATTTTGAAGAAACATCATTCTGTGATATATTGAGTAATGGCTCAGTTCTACCATTGTCTTATTGCAGTTGCGTTTTGATGTTTGAAAAAAATTTTTTTTAAATACTTAAATTTTCAAAATTACACATTCTTTTTTTTTATTTCCAGCTTATTTGGTACCCAGTTGAGAGCTGTTCAGGATATATTTAGTTGTTAAAAGCCCACTTGAGATGTTCAATGAATTTTTACTATTTGAGTATGACCTTTTGTGCTCCTACTTTTTAATTTATACAGAAATATTTCTAAACAACTTATAAAATAGTTTTGTCTCCTCCCACCCCCCAATTAAAAGTCTACTTCTAGGCCACTAGGGTGGTGATTTTTCAGCTTGTCTTAATTTTGGACTTTGCTGAGGGTACTGCATAAAATAAATGCTGTCTACAGTGCATAATCTTAAAAGTCTCTTTAGTAACATTATGCTTTTTTAAAGAAGTGTTGTGATGGCTTTTGTGCATTATCTAGAACACAAGTGTTTTCAACAAAATAATCTACATCTTGGCTGTATATAATACAGACAAATTTAGGCTAGAGAAATTGAGACCCAAAAGGCAGAGTAAAAATACAGTGGTTTGATGAGCTAGAAACCTCCCTCTGTGAAAAGCAGGTATTAATTTTTACATATTAGTAACGAGCAAGAATGATTTTTGTAGTGAGAGACCCTTGCTGAGGTTTCTGAGTGTATCTTTGTACTGGGAGAAGACAGGGAAATTTCTGGCACTCCCAGCCTGTGGCCTGTCTGGAAAATAGTCTTAAGGTGCTCATCAAAGTTAGTAAACACTTACTCCAGTGCTTTTTCTTAAGAATTTCCCAAAGGCAAAACTTAACTTGAACTTGTTTTATTTAATTAATTTTAAACATAATACTTCTCACTGGTATTTTTGCTATTCACAGGATACAAGCTGGCATTTAATTACTTGAAAGGAAAGAGATATGTTGATGCTATTGATGTCTGTCATAAGGTAGACCTTTTTTATTATTATTACCATGGCTTCTTTCAGTCCCCTACTACACAGTGCATGTATTATGCAGTTAACTGGTTAATCACGCAGTACATTTAGACTAGTCACGTGTGCAAAGTAATTATTGCTATAAAAAGAGTCAAGCAGCTATATAGTTGGTGCTTGAAAATGTGTAACAACTCTATAGCTGGTTTCTATCTAGCTTTAATTAGAATATGTAGCAGGATCCTCGGAGGTTGTTAGCTGTATGTGTGCACACCTACTCTGTGCATATTGTTATTTTTTTCCTTTTTGTTGGATTTTATGAATTGCATAAATTCTTCCATTTGATAAATGGTTAGGCTACTTTTAGTTCAGCTCTTTTGACCTTGAACTCTTCAGATTGGGAAAATGAGTAAGAGTGTCTGTTTTGCATGGGATAACAGAGGTACATTGTGGTTTTAGGTTGGAAAGCCTCATAAAAATGCATCTTAACAAGTTCCTAAAACTTTGCATAAAATTATCTTGAATAGCACCTCTGGGAAAAAGTAGTTTTATAAAGCCAGTTATCTTTCTGCATTTGGTGTAAATTAATATCAGTTTCCACAAATCTGTTTTATGACTTTTTTTCATTGATAATGATCCAAATACTTTGAATCCAAGATGTGAAATAAATAAGTTCTGGAGGTTATAAAATTGCATCCAAATGATATTAATCTAGTCCCCTATTATAATTAGCGCATATGTTTATCATAGTAGTTTCTAAGGAGTTCTGGGGGCTCCAGTGTGCTACGAATTAAACAGAGAATAGCAGAATATCCTAGCTCCAAAGAGCCTGCAGGTCTGACCTAGGTGATGGGAAAGGGATAACACACAAGCAAAATGAGCAATGTGATGGAAGCAAATATCATTTTAATTCTATGACTGTTTTGGCAGAAAGGAGAGGGAAGGGAAAGAGGTATGTTAGAAGAAAAAAGCAAAGGGGACTTCTGAAGGGAACGGAGAAAAGGGTAAAGAAACAGATGTGGAGTGAAGTTGAGATGGAGACTGAAGAAGGGAGGGAGGAAAGGGTGTCCCACAGGCACAGTCTTTTCAGCCCAGGGCAAGGAATGTCCAGTCATGGTCCCTGCCTTGGCTGCCTCTCAGCTGCTTCTGCTGGCTTGGAGTCTTTAGCTGATACTTCCCATTGTGTTTCCCCAAAGCTATGTGGCTAGGGAAAGGGAGTAGTTCCTCTTTGAATATACCTCGGCTCAATCTCATTACATATCTATCAACTGAGATTAAAATATAATACTGTATTTCTTCAAATCCAAGGTAACTTTGAAGTTAAGATAGACCCGGCTCCCTCATATAATTAGATTCTATATATGGAAAATTTATAACGTTTTTTGGGGGAGTGCTTTAAATTGCCCCCCATGCCCACCCTTGACTATGAGGCAGGCAGGCAGACAGATGCCCTCCACTGCCCCTTGTCCCCTGCTGCCTTTTTTTTTGGTGCCTGCTCCTCCCCATCCCACTCTGGG